TCACGAAGGCCGATATTCAGGCGAATCTAGTCAAGGTATCAAAGACCCTAGACTGAACTCAATAATTGGCTTGACAACGCGTGTTTCAATATGCGAGATATATCTAAGGCGTCAAACATCATGACTTCGAGATCCGTGTGTACGTGGAAATTCGGAAAGAACGAAAAGGGTGAGGTGGGACGTGCCATCAGACTCCGCCTGGTACTTCGGGGCTTCATGGGCCTCGAGGCTTCCGATGTGGAAGAATCCCCAGGGGCGGTGCTTCGGTCAAGTCAGCGACTACTCGCGCGCGCGTCTGCGTGCAAGAAACAATGGGTCATTGCTTCCCTTGACATCAACATGGTTTTCCTGAAAAGGGGTTGACCTACCAGCAACTTGCTGTGGCAGCCAGTGAAAAGGAATGTGTAGTGTGCTTTACATCGCCGCCTGGATCAGCATCGTTGCTTCGATCCCTCCCAGGATTCGAGCACTACGATGAGTCGAAGCCTTGTTCGCAGTGCCTCAAGGCAGGTACTGGCACCAAGGATGCACCCAGAGCCTTCTCACTGAAGCTCAGAAAGACCACCGGGGGCTTTGGTCTCATGCCCACGTCGTACGACGAAGAGTTCGAGACAAGAAAAGAACATCCCACAACAAACATGTTGGTTATATCAATATGGCCGGTACTGAGGACGCCATCGACGAGTGCGTCAAGTGCGTCGAGGCCTTTTTTGGGACATGTAAACTCAACGACCATACATATACCAATTGCGCGGTGAGATGCACCAAAGATGGGGGCGGTAATGTTACAATGGTTCAAGACGAATACATCAGACAACTCCGTCCTATGCAACATCCTGAACTCACAGGCGCAGACGCCGACGCCAAAGCGTCAAATATGGTTACTGACATGTTTGTCAGCTTCAGAGGCGCGTCGGTTTACGCATTAACCACACCAGTGTGGTTGATGGTATATATGGTTTCTCTACAGCGTGTCCAAGAACCGACCGACATACTGGTGGGGCGACTGAGCGCGATTGCCAGGAAGTTGCAGGTTTGCCCTAAGACGATCGTCCATCGATCGATGACCCCAACGGGCGTAGTTGACCCGCACAGCGACTCCGGCGATCGACGCCTTAGTGGCGATGCCAATGGCGAGGTCAAAGGTTATGGTATTCGCGGGGCAAACCTGCTACAGCGCGGAAACACGCCAACTTGGACGCGTGCCGTCCATCAGATCGATGCGTACTGCAAGTCTCGCCGCTTGCAAATCCGCTCGAGCTACTCAGCAGAAGCAGTAGCAGCATCCCACAACTTGGAGGACTGCTATCCCACGATCGTTACTCTGCACGAACTCCACGCAGGACTGCTGACACACACTCAGTTGAAATACGTACTGGAGATGGGCGGCCTGGACATTGCGATCACTTTGACCATAGATGCTGAATATGTCTTCGCGTCATTGCCAAGCGAAGACCTGAACAATCCGACCAAGTGTACAATTTTAGGACACATCAGTTAGATACGACAGATGATGGAGCGAGGTATCGTGCAAAGTATTCAGTGGTGTGACACTCGCGACATGACTGCGGGCGGTCACACAGAAATGGAGCTTTGACAGAGATATGCTCCTACAGGTCATGGAGGAGCGCAACCTTTTGAAACGTCATGCTCCGTACCGGGCTGGCCAGGCAACGTCGTTTGAGGCCGCCTGAGGAGCACTCGCTTGTGCAGCGATCAGCTCGCAAGGCCACTCGCGCGCAATGGCACTTGCGTGCGGGTTCAACTTTCTTACGCACCTGCCTTTTGCTGCCTTTTGTGCACATTGGGTTTGCCGTGCAGCGGCGGCGGCCTCGCGCTTCGTCTCCCCCCCGACTCGTAGAGTGAGCTGGGGCAGAGGAAAGAGATAACGAGCGTTTGTCCGCGGCCGTTTGGGTGCAAGCGGCCGGCCGCCAACATATGATTGCGCCTCATCGCGGGGCGCAGTGCTTGCCATTGAGACCGGAAACATCTTCGCTTGAGATGGCCCGTCGCTCCCGCGACGACCTCCTACGTCTGGGACTATCGATGCTACGGTACAACAGAGCTGGAGCTGGGCTTCGCCTAAGGCGAAGCTGCTGGTTGGGCCTTCGAAGCCCGTTTCAAACTCCAAGACGGCATACAGGGGTCTCTGGCTGCTCGAGACAGCCTCCAGACGCCTCAGGAGACGTTCGAACCAACTCCAGAGATCCCCAGGGAACTCTCCAGGACACCGCCGACAAACAAAGAACATTGGGACAGCTCACGCCATCGCCAACGCCGCCCAACGGCTACGCTTTCTACTGCTACGCGCGCCACATGACAGTTTTCGCCCTGTTCCTGGGCATGGAGACGGGTTCGGCATCTTTGCAAGCATAAATCACCGAGCCAGCCAACCAATCCAGAAGAGCATGATTACGATGAGGACGCCCACATGCATCTTGCATATGGTACTGGCATCATGCACGCGCCGATCTCATCAGCATCCAGCGCAACAGCTGCGTCGCAGCCGCCCTAGCCGCCGCTAGCAAGCACTGGGGCATCAGTACCGGAAAACAGAATATCCGCACCCGCCTCACCAAACGCGGTTTCGGTTTCGAGCTCATCAAGTCCAAGTATGGTTTCTTGGAACGGATCTTCGACGAAAGAGCCGCCGCTGGGGATGGAACGGTTGCGTGATCAACCGCATCGATGTCATCGCGGGGCACACATTGTTTACGCCACTTGCAAGACCTGCAAGAAGCATGCGTCGTGGCTCCGTCGTCACTACGCAGCGCGTGAGCCAGATATCTCTCATGTGTTTTTTCGGTGATGTACCCAGTCTCCAGATTTGCACGTACTTCCGCAGTGCTAGAGAAGAAACTCCACTCAGTGTGCACAGTTTTTGGATTGACGCTGCGACGACCTAGCCGTTGCTTTTATTCAGATCTTGTCTCGTTATTCAGATATTGTCAGATTTTATGTTCGCCGCCGGTCGAGGGAGAGATAATTTGTTGTTGCAGGTTTGTGTAGCGCATCCGGTGATGACCCCAGGGATCCCTGTTGCAAGCCGAGCCATGCCGCTTGCCCAACCCAGCCTCGAGGGGTGCTGCGCTCAGCATCCTAGGCGCCGCTGCCGAATTATCTCGATAGTTCGATCCGACTCAACAAGCGAGGGTCCGTCCATATGCCCGACGCTCTCCGGCCGCGGTCAGCGCCTTTTCGAGAGTCGTGCAGGAGGAGTGTGATAATGAACAGTTCCCTTCGCCGCAATTCCCGCTTCCGCCTTGCCGTGCTTCCGTTCTGTCCCAGCGTTTGCTGCCCTTTTGCCCCGAACTCCCCGTGGGCGTTTGGCTACCAGGGCGTTTGGCTGATTTTTGCTATGCCAGTTGGCCGAACCGCGCTCACAGCAAAACGATCCTTGGCGCTGGGCGCCATTTTTATGGCACACCGACATGGGTGCGGGGTCGCCATGCGAGCGCGCTCGTTGGGGCTATAGGTGGAGCTTGTTGTAAGGTGCGGAACGAGTGAGGGGCGTGCCGACATGGGCCAGGGCTGGAAGAGGAGGAGGAAGAGGAGGAGGAAGAGGAGGAGGAGTATAATGATGATGATGATGATGATGATGATGATGATGATGATGATGATGAGCACAATGGTGATGATGATGATGATGATGATGATGATGATGATGATGATGATGATAATGATGATAATGATGATGATGATGATGATGATGATGATGATGGTGGTGGTGGTGGTGGTGATGATGATGGTGGTGGTGATGATGATGATGATGGTGATGATTCTGCTGATGATGATGCTCATGATGATGCTGATGATGATGCTGCTGATGATGAGGATGATGCTGATGATGATGGTGATGATGATGTTGATGATGATGATGATGGTGATGCTGATGATGATGATGTTGATGATGCTGATGATGCTGATGATGCTGATGATGCTGCTGCTGATGATGATGATGCTGATGATGCTGATGATGATGACGATGATGATGATGAAGATGCTGATGATGATGATGATGGTGATGATGATGATGATGATGATGATGATGATGATGATGATGATGGTGGATGATGATGATGATGATGATGATGATGATGATGATGATGATGATGATGATGATGATGATGATGATGATGATGAGGAGGAGGAGGAGGAGGAGGAGGAGGAGGAGGAGGAGGAGGAGGAGGAGAGGAGGAGGAGGAACAGGAGGAGGAGGAGGAGGAGGAGGAGGTGGGGGAGGAGGAGGAGGACGAGGATCCTGGGTTTTCCTGGTCCGACCTATACGGCCAAGCGTGTTCGGGGCCTCAGTGGATGTACCTCTGCTACACCAAGCTTGTCGCCGCCCAACTGTCCAGTCAACCCGCGTAGAAAGAATGATCGATTTTCCCAGGTTGCCCTTGCATTTTTCCCTTTCGGCCCATCCTTGGCCGCTTTCCGCTGGCCGCGCCCCGCTCGCAAAGTGTCGACATGGCCTTCCAAGGCCCATGCATCCTCATCGTGCGTCCTTATTCTACGGGTTGATTGTAAAGGAATGTTGTAGTCTGAGCTGTGGCTGAAGACGCTGGGTCCCAGCTCAGCGCGCCAGCCTGCCGCGCAAGCCCCTGCGCTCCCCCAGTCGAGCGGCTCCCAGCACTGTGGCCGACGCATGGCTCGCGTGTGCCTGTCCCCTCGACTGGGCCCAAGTGGAGTGTTCCAAGGAGGGTCTTGTCTCCGAGGATCGAAAGCGTTGCCATCTCTTTCTGGGCAGAAGGGCTGCGGAAAGCGGCGGAAGGAAAGCCAGGCCGCTTTCGCCGGCGGAACCTGGCGGAAGGCTGGCGGAAGCCTCGACGGCTCGAGACGTCACCGACGCAGCAGTCGGTCGTGCCAGGTCAGAAGTCCTGGCCAGTCTATCTTCGCCCCCGTCGGCCGTGCGATGGCGGCTGCCGGAGCTCCTCGGCCGGGGGAGTGACCCCGAGACTACCTCGAGGTGAGCGTTCGCGGGCAGCCCGACCCGCGAGGACAGCTGCGCTGGAGTCGTTTGCATTGGTGCCGCTGGAAGAAGGGCGAAAGGGCGCGGCGATGCGTGGCAAAAGAACCCTGAGGCGAGCGGTGAGGCTCGCGTTGGTGGCAGGGGCGGCATGGTACCATGGCAGACGCTACACCCGTGCCACAGCCGCGCGGCTGGTACCCATCGAGAAGCTGAGCACTATAGCCCAGCTGCCTCCGCCACCAGCTGAAGTAAGAGAGCGTACGGGTGCATTGACACCAACCCGTTTTAAGACCAGGACTATGAAGATATGGAGTTTCAGCGCGGAATCTTTACGACGAGTGGGACAATTAGATGAGCTCCTGGAACTTGCCAGGGCCGAAAACGTTTCGATCTTCGCTATGCACGGTCCCCAGATGGACCTAGGCATGACATGGAAGGCCGGGCAGTATAAGGTGCATTCGCTGGCACGCTCTGGCAATGGTCAACGCGACGGGTGCCTCATTGTCATCAACATGCGGCGCTTCAAATCCGACGATGTTCGCTGCCAGCACGCATGGATGCCAGGTCGACTGCACGGCATCAGACTCCGCAGCATGCACAGTGCCCGACACGAGAGAGACAGTTACTTCGTGAACGGATACGCTCCTGCCAACGACCCAGGACGGCCAGCACACGGAGTATATCCCAACATAGACCAGGAAACTCATTTGGAATTCAGGGGCACGTTTTGGCAGATATGTCGACAAGCAGTAAACCAGGTACCAGCGCGAACGGCGCTAGTGATCACCCTTGATGCGAACGCCCATGTGCCTCCTCATCTACCAAGGGTCAGACACGCTGGTGCCCGTTGCAAGGCGGCAGTGATCAACGGCAACGGCCGATCATTGATGGACGTGATGGAAGATCACGGGATGATGGCGCTCAACACTTTCGGCAGCGCTAAGCGCTTCACCGGCGCGTGGCGCAGTCCGTTCGGCACATGGACTACCATAGACTACGTTATTGTCCGCTGACAAGGCGGCTTCGGCCATGCTTCTCGACCCCGACTTGATCTACCAGTCAACCTGGGTCGCTACAGGGGCCGCGGGCCGCTGGATACGAGGGTCCCTGCTGGCATACGACCACGACCGCGACAGGAAGGACGGCACCGCTGGAGGCGAGAGTTCCTCTTGCTGGACCTCCAGAAGGCCCAGCAGGCACAGGGCGACCCCTGGCGCTCCCCAACAGAGCGCTGGAGTTCCGCAGGAGAAATCAGGAAGGACCTTGGGAGAAGAGGCTCCAGAAGGACTGGGTAGATGTATGTGACGGCGGCAAGCTTTACGAGACACCCTCATTTTTCTTCGACGAACTGGAGGGGGTGGTGATGAATGCAGCGCTCCAAGACTGTATTGAATCATCATCCCGCAGCGGTAGTACGGCCCCAGTTTGCGACGATGCCATTGTGCAGCTCATCGCGACCACGCAGTATTGGCAGCGGCAGTTAGCCGCGCTAGCAGAGGAAGCTCGATGGCTGCGCAACTTCATTCAGACAAAGTTCAACGAAACATCATAGGCAGCTACGAAAACGATCAGGAGCGAAAAGCGCCAGCGCACTGCAGCACTTGCCGAACTTGCTCAATTCGCCGCTGGCCAGAAAAGCTTGAGGGAGCTCCGCGCCATTCTTCGGGAATTAGCACCCGAACCGCCAGCCCCGACGATGATAGTGAAGGATCGAGCAACGGGGTTGCCGTGCTTCGACATGGGGCGAGACAGGCGAGTGCGTATCCAAAATATATGTGAGCTGCGCGGCGGCCAAGCAATGCAGCTCGATGACGACCCACCCCGCGCAGGTGCAGCAGGCAGGGGTGATGACAGGATTCGCCCCTACGACATGCGCGACGTGAAGCAGGGCATTGTGGACTTGCCGAACACGAAGGGCGGCCCGACCTTGCCGTGGACACCGTTGGGCCCCCCAGATGGTGCGGAGGCTGAAACGTGGGAGATCGGGATCGACTTGCATGCGGCTCCGCTGTTTCAGGTATTCAACTCTGCCCAGGCCCTTGGCGCCGCACCTCGACGGTTCAAGGGCGGTGAGACGGCCCTCCTGGCAGCTCTGCGAGGCGCGGCTACAGGGCCATCAGATTGATCGGCCATGTGATCAAGGCCTTCGCCAGGGTCACCACGCTGGGCGCGTTGAGGGATATTGCGCGTGGAGTTTCTCTGGCGCAGTTTAGTGCCGTGCTGGGCCGGGGTGCACGCGATGCGGTCGTGGCGGCGTCTGAGGTCATTGCCCGACGCCAACGAGCGCGCCGCGCGAAGCTCCGTGGCCGATCCTCCTCGCCACCGCCCATGTTACTGGCAGTGCTCACCGATCTCGAGACATGGTAAACCAGCAAGACAGGTGGGCGGGCCTGGGCGATTTCCAGGTGCGCTGGGGCGCCGGGGTGACCGTAGAGGAGCCCCATGCCGGCGTGTGTCACCTGCTCGGAGACGCGCGCGCCGACGGACAGGATATGGGTAAGACGTGGAGCCCGTCAAGGAGGAGTTGAAAGTTCCGCTCTCTTTGCGGCGGCGCGTCGCGGGTTGGTGGCGCAGCTGGCGAAAATGCCGTCAGAGATGGGATGCTCGTGTATCAAGGTGTACTTCGACCCCGCGCGAGCGCCTCAGGAACAGTGGCGGACGGGAGGAGGACGCCTGCGAGTATGTGGACATGGCCCGCCTGGATTTCCTAGATGACCTGCTTGCGTTTGCGAAAATTGACGAGTTTGACGACGCCTCCAATTTTTTGGAAGTCGTCAGCGGCGAGATCGAACGCGGCGGCGTGCAAGTGAATGGGGGGGGCACCGAGCTTCTATCGACGCCGTCGGGGGTGGGCAGCAAGAGGAGGGAGAAACGCGCCGGGGAGCGCGCGACAGGTGTCGTCACGCGGCGAGGCGATGACTGCTTCCCCATCAACCCTCAGCCGACGGTCAGGTACATTGGCGCGCAGCTGGCTGCCACTGGCAGCGACCAGACTGGGGCGACTCACGGGATCAAGGCAGCGCGCGCGGCCCATGCTCGACTGCTGCGCTGTGCTTTCGAAGGAAGGTTCAGCCCCGCGCTGAAGATCAGATGGTGGAAATCCCTGCTGCGCTCAGTCGGCCTATGCTGCCTGGAGGTGACGGACGTATCAATGCGGGAACTGGCGCGACTCGAAGCATGGGACGTTCGAAAAGTTCGAGGGCTACTCCACTCACCAGCTCACCTACTCAAGAAGACTAACCACGAAATCAGGATGACGGCCCGCGTTCCCACCGTGGAGAGCACGCTGCTGAGGGGGCGGCTCAAATGGTGGCGTCAAGTGCTGTGGCCTGTCTCTCGTGAGTCCGCAGCGGAATCGCACGACCCGACCCGCGCGGTGCGCGCCGCCATCTTTGGCGGACTCTCTTCTGAGGATGCGACGCCGAAGGGGCCGACGGGCGTGCTGGCCCGCCTGAAAGAGGACCTGCGACACCTTAAGCTGTCCTTCGAGGCCCGTGAGCAGCTCGAAGCACGACGGCATCTTCTACTGCGTGGAGATTTTCCTGAGCTGGCTGAGCCGTGGCTGAAGTGGCGGACCTTCGTAGAACCGCGGAGCTTCCGCCTCGTGATCACTTTCGGCGCTTCTGCCTCTGCCGTGGAACCTCCTGCTGATATGTGGCTGGACTGGTGTGCGTGCAAAGGTGAGATGGGGTTTGCCCGCCGCAAACTTGCGGCTCATCAAGTATGCGCAAATCCGACGGCGATGGTTGTTAGTGATGGTGACTTGAAGCAGAAACGATACCCCTACTTCGCAAAACATTTCACAAGGCAAGATGCACTGGTCAGACACATCAATCATGGCCGATGCACTGCCCGTGCCGAAGGCGTTGAGGCTCGAAGTGCACGGGTAGCAGCACCAGGCCCCGAGTCAGCGCAATCCCGGCTCAGAGCCGCAGCGGCTGGCCCAGATGCTCAAGCCGATGGGCAAGGTGCAGGCGGCGCGCAGCGGCCGCGAGGAGTTGTCGGCGGCCGTGGGCGACGCGGGCGAGGGCAAGACCATGGGCAAGGCCGAGGGCGACGTAGCGCATCCGCTCGGCAAGACGCGGACGCGGCCGACGCTGCAGCGCGAAGGCAAGGTGAGGGCAGGCCACCGCGACGACAACGACAACTACATGATGATGGCCATGCCGATGAGCAAGGTGGAGTTGACGCTGCACCGAGCATTCAAGCACTGCGAGGGCGAGGGCTGCAAGGCCAAGGAGAAGACCATGGAGGAGGATATCGCCTACTCTGGCAACCCACTGGGAGCGCGCCCAGACGGTTTGGCGAAAACGGTGGCCATCCGCATCGCGGGGGCGGTTGGGGGCAAGAACGAGCAGGTGGCGGAGGCGACCGAGCAGGACCTGGGCCGAACGGAGGCCAAGGAAGCGTTGGACGTGCAGGCCAACGCGGGCAAGAAGGCACAGGACCAAACGGCCAAGTTCGTAGCCGCATGGTGCTTCAGGGCGAAGATGGGGCAGCCGAAGGGCGACGAGGGCGCGGGCGTGGACAGAGAAGGGGTCAAGGGGATTCTCGCGCTTCGTCGCTACCCGCAGTGCAAGCTGGACGTGACGGTGTCCCGCGGGCACGGCGCGCTCGCAGCTGCGGGCGCCCGCCTAGCGCGCGACAACGTAATGGGGGTCAGGGTCGCGAAGCTGGCGGAATAGCCAGATTCCAGGGGCGGCCCAAGCAAATAGAAGGGAGAGAAGAGGAAGCGGAAGCGGAAGTGAGCGGGGCTGGCAGAGTACAGAAATTGTCGGCGTCCCGTTCCTTCCCTCCTCGCCCGACCCTTCCTCTCCCGAGACCTCCTCCTGGATGAACGACGCTCGCTAAGTACTTCAGTTTTGGACCGCGAGACCCCGCGCAGTATTTTTTTCCGTGGCGTGGGGGTCCCGTCTCGTGAGGTCAGTTTTGGGCTGCTCGGGGGGCCGCGCGCTCCCCCAAGGGGGCCGCCCCGCAGTGCCACCCCGCAGAGGCTGGGGTGCGCGGGAATGGGGCTGACGCACAGCTGCCTGCCCGCCTCGCGCCTTCCCTCCAGCAGGGAACCATCCATTTCTCGGTTCGCCGCGCTTTATAACGGTTGTTTGTAGTTGCCCCCGCGAAACTTCCTTAGGAATGGGAGTCGCGTTCCAAAAAAGGAAGGTTGGCGGGAGCTGGCGGAAGCAAACATCAACCTCCCAGGGCATTACATTCTCTTTGGGTTCAGGGCTTCCGGAATCGGCCAAATAACCCTGACACCACATGTGTAGCTGATGATCGCCCTTGCCGCTGCGGACCCGCACCGCGACCGCGCGTCCCGTGTGCCCACACTCTTCTGCCGTGACGCGAGCACCGTAGGAGGAGGAGGAGGAGGAATGTCAATCCCGAGCGCACTAACAATGTTGCAATGTTGCAATAAACCTTCCTTCCAAGTTCCCTCTTCACAGGTTCCTACAAGAAATGTTTCTCACTACGGGCAGTTCCCCATTTGAGAACAATAGAAGAATATCTAGTCATACCAAAAAACGATTCCTGGGATTTCAGCGCCGCGAATCAACGTGACCGCTGTGGCCTGACAGTCATCACTCGTGCCAGAACCCCATGCCTGAGACTACAAGACAGCGAAGCAACGTAACGGTTGCGTCTGGACAGTCCCAAATCGTGCCAGGACACCATTCCTTGGATTGCAACCGTCCGAATCCTTCGAACCGCTGCGAACTTTCAAGACGAACGTGCGCGGCGATAGTGCGAACGCTTCATTTTTTTAAACGGTGCATTCTCCATCCAAGGAACTGCTGCAGACTTTTCATACGCATGTGCGCGGCTCCGAAATTTCAAGTTTCAGGATTGTCTATGGTTGGGAAGTCTCAGGCGAATCGCATGACCAGCCCTGCCGACACGTCTGGGGGTGCGACAGGGACGATTTGTTCATACGGAAAATGGATGGAGCAGGAGGAGGACGAGGAGGAGGCGGAGGCCCTGGAGGAGGATGAGTAGGGAGACGCGCGGCGCTGCGGACAAAACACGAGGACCCAATTGGGAAAAATATTAGGAACATTCCATAGCAATTGTGGTGCAAGCCTAATTCATCAGTTAACTGTTTGGCTTGTCTCGCCACCCCGCCCGCGCTCCGCTCCTGCAATATCTCCCGCAGGCTTTGCTCTCCGATGGCGGTGCCAGCGATCGATGAATCCTGGCGCCAAGACCCGATACTGGTGGGTGACGCGGCGCCACCTGTCGGAGTGAATCTCCAACGTCATGTGCCACGGACATTCGGCGTCATCGTGCACGAGCCGATGTACTCTCGCAAGGTTGGCATCGTGAGGGCCCGCACACCACATCCCGAGAACTCGAACGGCCTGCAGCGCGTGGGTGGGGCGTCCGCGGAGCCAATCGCTTCGCGCCCTGTCGGCGCAGAGTTGGGCGGCCCGGAGTTCGTGGTGGGGTCGCCCGCGAAGCGGGTTGCTTCGCGCGGCCCTGACAGTGCTCCTGCAAGTGCAAGTTTGCTTGGGGCAGGCCTGGACGGGTCCGGGGCCTTGAGAGGTTCGATCGGGGCAGCGGTGGTGGCTTTGCGCCGGAAGCTGAAAGGCAAGTCCTCGTCTCGGACTGTCTCTGAGATCAAAGAGGCCACGCCAGTTGCGCCAGCCTCGCCACCACGGGCCGGGTTCAGATTCAGAGCTCGGTCATATGTCGAGGCGCGTGAGCCAGTAGTGCATAGCTGAGTTTTTTTGGCATGCCCCAAGTGCCGCTGTGCAAAAGCCATGCGCTCTCGAGGAGAAGGAGGGAATCGCTCTGCCAGCAGGTGCCCAGAGAAAGTGGCCAGGAGCAGCGATTGGGGGAGATAGGCATAAGGGGGGGATGCATATCTGCCCCCGATCGCCCATGGATCGCCGAGAGCAGCCCGATAGCCTCCACCCGCCCAGGAGCCGTGCGGACTCACTATCCGGGGGCCCGGTGCCGATCCATCGGCGACGTGTCGCCGATCCGGGGTCGACGCCTCCCCCCCCCCGTGCCCGTCCCCACCTTCCGCTGCCCCTCGAGGGGAGGAGCAGCGAGGAGGTGGGCAGTGGGCAGCACGGGCGTGGTCGTGGCGCGAGGGGTGGCCGGCACGGCGCGGCGCAGCCTGCCACGGGCCGATTGGGCCTCGGCAGCCCGGGCGAGGTCGGGCACGTCCCGTGCTGATGCGGCCCTGCGACTCGAGCACGGAGGGCCGAGCCGCCCCCCCTGCACAGCCAACCGGTTCCCCGGGAGCCTTGGACAGGAGCTGGCGTAGCGGCTTCTAATCGAAAGGCCTTTGCAGCTCTCCAAGGAGCGATCCGGGACACTTTTTGGGCCGCTTCTGACATGGGCAAGGGCGCCGGCGAGCCTCTCTGCGGCTGACTTCGGCGCAAGATGTTCGTACGTTACGTGGCGCCGCCCAGCATTTTCTTTTGGCCGGCTCGAGCACGAGCAGGGCCACCAGCGAGCCAGGTTCCAGCACTAGATGCTCGCTCGCGGCGGCATCCGCCTTCCCGTTCCTCAACCCTCCTCTCCGTCCTTCTGCCGTCTTCCCCGCTCTCGCGCCCTTTTTGTTTGCCAGCTTCGGGATCGCGATGTTCGAAGCGTTGGTGCTGGCGCTCTTCGGCTTGCGCAGTAATTACTCCCCCAGAGGCGCCCCGCAGACGGCCCCCAGACCCCCAAGACCAAGCCCCAGGACTCAACGATCCCCGAAGGCCCCCCCCCCCCACACACCAATCACAGGCTCCCCAAGGGCACCCAGCCCCCAAGATGTCCCAAGTAGCGCCCGAAGAGGACCAAAGACGGGTCCCAAGCCGACCCAGGGCAACCGCAAGATAGTCGCCACTGGAGCCCAAGAAGGGCCAGGATGGCCCCAGGACGGCTCAAGGGCGCCCAGAGATGTCCCAAGAAGGCTCGAAGACGGCATAGGAATGCCCAAGGGGACCTAGCGTGGCCCCAAGAGGCTGCAAGACAGTCCCAAGAGGACTCCACAACGGCCGGCATCCGCTGGCCCGATTGCTTGTGACCGACCAGGACCTAAGCGTGCGCGAAGCTCGCGCGTGGTTGTACATATCATGCCAGGGTACCGGGGGGCTGGGGCCAGGGCCAGGACACCCTCACGGAATTCTAGACGCATCGCGTATCCCCACCAGCGCACCGTTGCATGCCCGTCCTGGGGCTGTCTCAGTCTCCCTGGATTGCACGTCGGCTGCCGCCCTGGGGGATGCCTCCCCCGCCGCCTGATCCGCGGCCCCCGCGCGCGCTAGACATTTTAGTCGCGGCCGTAGCCCGCCCGCGACCTCCCGCCGCTGGCGCTTCCGCCTGCGGCTGCAAAAAAAAAAAAATCCCCACCAGCTGGCTGCTTTGCCGCCTGATCCGCGGCCCCGCGCGCGCCCGGGAATTTAGTCGCGGCCGCAGCCCGACCGTGACTGCTCGCCGCCGGCGCTTCCGCCTGCGGCTGTAAAAAAAAAGAGTATCCCCACCAGCCCGTCCAGAAACGACGCCCAGGCGAGTAGAGGGTCGTCCTGAGGGGCTTTTCGGCGTCTTGGGTGCCTCGGGGGGGCCTCTGTGGGCCGTTCGGGATCCTCTTTGGGGCCTCCTGGGGGCCTCTTGGGGCCTCTTGGGGCCATCTTGGGGCCTTTGGGGGCCTCCTGGGGTCTCTTGGGGCCTCTTGGGGGTCTCTTGGGGGCCTCCTGGGGGCCTCTTGGGGGGCCTCTTGGGGCCATCTTGGGGCCATCCTGCGGCCTCTTGGAGGGGATCTGTCAAAGAAAGCGGAAGCACTAATTAGCGTCGCTCCTGGAAAGCCTTTAAAATCGCTTCCTGAACCGCTCTTGGAGGGCTCTTGGAGCGCTCTTTGCGCCGTCTTCGGGCTTTCTTGGGCCCTTCTTGGAGCTATCTTGAGCCATCTTGGAGCTATCTTGACGCCTCGGGTGGGCATCGGAAGCGAAAGCGCGAGAACGCCAAAAACTTTGATTTTCCCAAGGGTTTTGAAACATTTTGGCTTCTTGGGGGCATCCGAGGGGAGCTCTAGTGGACACTTAGAGCCGTCTTGGGGCGGTCTTGGAGCGTCTTGGAGCATCTTTGGAACCATCTTGAGGCATCTTGCGCTATCTTGAACCATCTTGGAGGCGATCTTGGGCTCCCTGAGGCCCTCTTGGAGTCGTCTTGGCTCATCTTGGACGCTCCAACGCGTCGCGGCCCCCCCTGTCCAGGTCAGTGGGGAGGGGGTGGGGGGAGGGGTAAACCCCTCCCCGAAGGGGAAGAAGGAGGGGTGGAAGAAGAAACGCTCTAAACCACCGACGCCCAGAGGGCTGGTGGGATTTTCCCCCCCCCCCGGCCCTCCCCCTTATTTTGGCCTGCGAGACAGTTTGACAGCTTCCAGGGCCTCCCGGGCCTCCCCCTCGCCGTTCAAAGCAGCTCTAGAGGCCACCAACAAAGCGACCAGAGCAGCCTGACAGGGCCGAAGACGCCCGAACATTGTGTCAAGACGGCTCAAGAGGCTCCGAAGACGCCCCAAGAAGGCTCCTGCGCCCCGGGAGAGCCCCAGGAGGCAAAAGTTGTCCCATCCTTGCGGCCAAGACGCATCTCAGCAGATGCGCATGTTGGGTCTGAACAGCGTCCAAACGGCTTAGAGGCCCGAAAGATCACCCCAAGATTCGGCCCAAGAGGCAAGAGGGCCCCAGGACGGCCCAAGAGAGCCCTAAGACGGTCCAAGAGGCGCCCAAGACGGCCCAACAGGGGCCTCAAGAGGGAGCCAAGAGGGGGATTTCAAACTGACATTTCGAGCCCTCGGCTCCAAGTGGCAGACCCCCAAGAGGACCCCGAAGGGCTGAAAAAGAGGCCCCACGAACCCCCCAAGAGGCCGCTCCACGAGGCGCCCGAGAAGCACGCCAACAGACAGGTATCCGAGAATCCCCTGGCCCAGAACTCAGGCACAGTAGCCATGTGGGCCGAAGGCTATCGACAAGCCAGCAATTCGCTTGGCGACGGACCCATCCCTCTATGCAGTCATGTGTAGCGCGGGGCGCCTGTCTCTCTTCGTGCACTGCGCGCCGCGGGGCATTGCGGAAGTGGGGCTGCTGCGGAGCACGCGTGCGCGGGTTCGCGGAGCCCCTTGTGGGGCACGGTCCGCGTGAAGGGCGTGCCGAATAACTCGGATGCCCCCGAGCGGGCCGCCCACGGAGGTCGCAGGTCCACCTCCTCTGGGCACGACCCGTGCGAGTCATGTTCCGAAGTGGGCGGGGGGACGTCATGCGAAGCTGCCCATGGGTGCCATAGTTGGAGTTCCTTCTGGGGCATGATTCGCATGACGGGTGTGCCGGCATGGGGAGGGGGGCGCTGTGCGAACTTTATTTTTGGGCCTTTCGGTGGTGTTCCTTCTGTGTGCGATCTGCGTGGTGGGGTGTGCCGCAGTGGGTGGGGGGGCGTAATGCGAACCTTGCCTCTGGGGCCATGGGTGGAGATCCCTGTGGGCCACGACCCGTACGAGAGGTGTGCCGAAGTAGGTGGGGGGCGGCATGCAACCTTTGCCTCTGGGACCGTCCGTGGAAGTCCCTGCGGGCCACGATCCGTGCGAGAGGTGTGCCGAAGTAAGCCAGGCGACGCTATGAAGCTCCCCTTTGGTGCCGCACATGCAGTTACTAGCTGGGCAGGACCCGCGTCAGGGGCGTGCCACTCTGCGAACTTTGTCTCTGGGGACATGGGGGGTGGTCCCTGTGGGGCGCGATCCCTTTGAGGGGTGTACCAGCATTGGCGGGGAAACTCTTAAGCCAAGCCTGTATCTGGGGCCGTCGGTGGAGCTCCCTGAGCTGCACGATCCGTTTGACACTATGTGCCCTCCGACGCCGAGCACTTCAGACTACAACCAGAACTTGCTAGAACTTAAGTGCGCGAAGCGCGCGTGGTTCTAGTATTTGTGTACACGTATTTCTAGGTATATCCATGTATGCATATACATATGTATCCATGTATCGAAGACGCCTACGGCGAATCACCGCCGCTCCCTGCCTTCTAGAATCGCCCATGTGGCCGAGCGTTGTGGCAAGAGCTCTGCCAAGCTATCGGACCATGTGTTCCCCCAACCGTTGTGGAAAACCATCGGGGAACACTTGGGGGAGGATGGCGGGGAAGATCAGGAGTAGGCGGAGGAGGTGGTGGAGGAGGAGGAGGAGGAGGAGGAGGAAGAGGGAGCATTTTGGGAGCCTCTAGGGACACCCTTGGGGCCTCCCGGGAGCTTCCTGGGAGTCTCTTGGAGGCATCTTGGGGGCCTCCTTGGGCCTCTTGGGGGCTAGTGGGGGGCTTCTCGGGGGCGTCTTTAGCCGTCTTGGTGGGCTCCTGGCCCGTCTGACGCCGTCGGAGGTCGTCTTGAGGGCCTCTCTGGGCCGACTTGGGGCCCTCTTGGGGCGCTCCAGGGCCGTCTTGGAGGCCATCTTGGGCGTCTTGGAAGCTTTAAGGGCCGTCTTGGGGCCCTCTTGGGGCCCTCTTGGGGCCGTGGTGCCATCCTGGAGGCCTCTTGGGCGATGTTGGGGCGATCTTGGGGCGATCTTGGGGCGATCTTGGGGCCATGGGCCGTCTTGGTGGGCTCCTGGCTCGTCTGACGCCGTCGGAAGTCGTCTTGAGGGCCTCTCTGGGCGGACTTGGGGCCCTCTTGGGGTGCTCCAGGGCCGTCTTGGAGGCCATCTTGAGCGTCTTAGAGGCCTCTTGGGTCGTCTTTGGGCCCTCTTGGGGTCTTGGAGGCCTCTTGGGCCATCTGGGGACGATCTTGGGGGCCTCTGAGGCCGTCTTGGGCCGTCGGAAGGCCGAAAAGGAGCAAACACGAACATCATTCAAACACTTACGGAGCATCGATGGCTGTGCGGGCATTTTAATGACAATGTGAACGGTTTTGCGTACATCCATTTCTCTATAGCCGTTCCTTTGCTCGAGCATTCGGCTGGGTTTGCATGTTTCTCGCCCTCCTTGGGAACGTCGGGCTCCAAACGTTTGTTCGGGCCCTCGGTCACAGCTCACTGGCCGCCATCGCGGGACAGGCGGGGTGCCCTCGTCTACCTCCGTGCCCACCGTGTGAGCTGCATTGTGGTGGCCCTGGGAGTTCGTGTCTACGGAGTGCTGGGGGGTGCAGTGGTTGGATCGGCTATCACTCTGAATGGTCAGTGGGCTACTGGTCGTGGACAGCAAGATGTTGGCCGCTCGCGGACCGAGAGTAGGGTCAGAGGCGTGGTGGGAATCGCTGGTGCCGGGGACGCGTCTTCTAGTCAAGTGCGACGAGGACCTAGCTCACGAACGCGTCCTTCTCTGGCCTCTCCACTAAACATTGGGTCGTCCTGACCCCAGACGGTGACATGTATGACGAAGTGCTTGAGGATGAGGACGCCAAGGAGGTATATGCTGTGCGGAAGGGAGGTCGTCTTCCCGCCCATCTTGCTCACCCTGCCTACCGCTTTCGAGGCAACCTGGGCGTGGAGACTGTTCGGACGGCCATCCGAGAAGGGCGTGCTGAGGCTGAGCGGCTTCACGCGGAGGGAGCTGGCGCCCTGGTTGAGCCCGCTGAAGTACGAGGCTGGTGTGACTGGGGTGGTGCCGAGTTCCCATTGGGTGATCTATTGGGTGCGCCTATGGCTGGAGCAGCCGCTGGAGCACCTCGAGTGGGCGCTGAGCCTGGTATGAACTGGGTGGTCGCCGCCGGGGCGCCGAGCTTCTCCTTGGGCCAGAAAGCTAGTGGTGGGAAGCTGGAGGCGGTGGTCGGTCTCACGGGATTGTGCCGTTTGCGCACCTCTGGAGGCATCGGGGAGGTGGTGTTCGTTGACAATTTTCAGGAGGATGCCCTGGGTGACTACGCTGAGGCGCGTCGGCCCGCCATTCAAGAGGTGGCCAGGGGTTTCGGCCACGCCGCGAGGCGCTGGCAGCGAAGCTCCCAAGCCCGCTGAGGACGGAGAAGAGGACGACGATTGTACCTCGTCTGTTCTGTATGATGAGCAGGGTGAACGTTGGCGACGGCGGCGACGTGTGGCAGCTTCCTCTTTGGAGAATTTCGAGGGAGACTGGCCTATTGAAGGCCCGCGTACTACCCAATGGTTGCTGAAGCATGTTGAGCGGGCTGGTGGGTCGCCGATGCAATGGTATCATCGTTTCTTGACCGAGTCAAAAATTGCTCCTGCGGGTCGGGCGGCCGACGGGCTGCAAGTGGTCTGTAGGACCTTCGAGTATGCTGGATCGTACGATCAATTCAATATTATTTCGTTGTCTTGTTTCGAAGCATTGTCCAGGCGGTGGCAGCTGCTCCTCCACGCCAACTCGAGGGGCCCTGGTGATCCGAAGTTCGGTGGCGTTGAGTTTTGGATGGGCGTTCAGCAGCGCGCCCTGGGCACTGCGCCACCATTGTTAGCTCGCATCGCGAAGGGGGCGAATGGCCAGGCCGAGATCGAGACGGCCAGGCAGAATGAAAAGGAGGCGCGGGGGCCAAAGAAGGATCCTCCGCCTCCGAGGAAGACGCGGGCAGCAGTCCACCCTTCGCCCATGTCTTCGGGGACGGGGGGGGGGGCGAGGACGGGCCGAGGCGAGCAGGCTTGCGCCTGGGGCGGGTCGCCGCCAACATTTTTGACATGCTGCGGGGATCGGTGGAGCTCTTTCCACTTCACCTAGTGGCTGTTCCTGAAGTCGCTGGGAAGTACCTTTCGCGAGGGACTCGACCGCGTGCTGGGCGGCGGCGTCGCGCTGCTCTGCGAGGGGGGCGCGCCGTGGGGGCGCTGAACGGGCTTGCCGGGCGCGATGACGTTGTCTCCGAGGTGTTCGCCGAGAGTCGTTCTCCGGTCTTGGATATGCCGATGGTGGCCGCGAGGGGGGTGCGCCCATTGAGCCCGTGCCGCAGCGGCGTGAAGCTGCCGACGAGCTCCTGCATGCCCGAGCAGGTTGCTGCTCGGGAGAGTCACCCGTGGTGCCGTTTAAGCCAAAGTTGTTTTCCCTTCCGCCTGCTGTGCACTCGCGCCCATTGTCGTGGACTTTCTGGAGGGTCGCGATCGTGAGCTTCTCCGTCGCTTCGAGGAGCGTATCGTCAGATCAGATGTAGAGTTTTGGGGGATCGAGGATAATGAGGGCCCCATCGTGCCCTATTTAGACGCGCGCCTGAAGTCAGATGTGGGCCTGTGCACCACCTTTGCCAGGCTGATCGTCGAGAAGGGCGTCGTGCGTTTGTGCCGCTATTCGAAGGAGAGGGTGACCCCCTTCTGTGTTGAAAGGAAGGATAGACGTCGACGCCCGATAGTGGGCGCCCGTCGTGCTAATCGCCGCTGTCACGATCCACCTTCTGTGACCCTCGCTACTTGTGGATCTTTTTGTGAGCTTGAGGTGTCGGATGACCTTGTGGTGCACGCCTCGTCAACGGACGTGCAGGACAGTTTCTGCAGGTTCAGGACCGATGAAGAGTTGATCCGATATTTTGGGTCTGCTTGCAATTCGAGCTCGCGGCGCTGGGCTGGCTGGGGAGTTCCTGGAAGGTACCGCCCTCGAGCGCGATGATTGGGTTCATATATGTTTCGCTGCCCTGCCGATGGATTTCAAGTGCAGTCTCTATTTTGCGCAGGTGGCCAACCGAGGGCTGGTCGAGAGGGTGCCTGGGCTGAGGCCCTCAAGTCGGCTGCAGAGTTTTGGAGTGGGACAGCTTCTCCAAAACCCTCATGATACTGTACGCTACATCTATGTAGATAACGTCGGGGTGCTCGGTGGTGGCAAATTCCTTGTTCAGCAGGTCGCCGATGAGGCCTCCAAGGTGCTGAATGACGCGGGCCTCAGCACGCGCGACAACGAGAAGGCCGACCCGCAGAGTGCCAACCGTGGAGTGATGCTTGACGGCCCGCGCCGCTAAGGAGATATCTGGCGCTTGGATTGGCGTGTCATGTGTCAGTTGGGCGCTGGCCCGCGGAGCTTTCAGTCCGAAGGGTATAGGGAAGCTCTTCGGGCACCTCACCTTTGCCTTCGTGCCGAGGGGGCCTATGCTGTCAGTGCTGATGTCTTGCTGCCAATTTGCTCGTTTGGGCTGAGTTCGGAATGTTCCTCTGTGGGGGTCCGTTGCAAAAAGAGAGAGATGCCTTTCGGGTCCTCCTCTTGCTCGCCAGATCGTTCTGGGGCCTTGTCTGGGGCCGGCGGGTGATAGCTATTGACGCCTGCTTGATTGGGGTGGGGATCGTGTCAGCTGGCGTGGATCTGGGTTTTGCGAAGGGATGTGGTCGTCGTGACGAGAGACAGCGTTTCCGTGGCCCAGAAGAGCTTTGGGTCTCTCGCCCCCGTCCTCGTGCTATGTGCGGCCTAGAACTTGGTGATCGAGATGCCCTCGCGGGCCCCTTCATTGTTGGGGATGCCCCGGAGTTCCCTGGGGCGCCTGCTAACCCTGCAAGAAATTTACAATTGCGCCTGTTGTGTTCGGGGCGTTTTATTTGGAAAGAACTTGTTCGCATTCAAGAGGCGCAGGCGGTTATCTGGGTTCTCCGGCGCCAGTCCAAGGATCATTGTTATCATTGACGGCGTCGTGTTTACCTATGTGATTATCTGAGCGTGTTCCTGGCTTTCTCAATGGGAAGGGCGTGCGATGCTAAACTCAACCATTGTTGTAGATGGTGCACGGCCCTCTTTATGGCCACCAATTGCAAGGTTTGGGTGCGATGGGTTCCATCTGAGCTGAATCCCGCTGATGAGCCATCTCGTCGGTTTGAGCCGACTTCGGGTGGCAAGGCCCCGCGCCCACCCCCGGGCTCACCCCTCCTGGCGCCGACTCCGTGATCCATGGGCCTCGTGCGGCGCGTGTTGGCGCCGGCGAGATTTCCCGTGCTGGCCGCGGACTTGGGGGGGCATGCCAAGACGAGGCAGCCGACTGGGGCACTTGTTGGGGCGGAGGAGCGGGCCTTGAAGGGGACCGCAGAGCTGAGACTGACCGCCAATCAGGGTCGCGCCGAGAAGAGTCTACACGCCCAGAGCAATTTCTGGACATTAGCCGTGCGGAGTGGCAGAAGCTTCTTGGAGACTCGGGTGGTGGAGCCCGCCGCCAGGGGGACCTATGCCCAGTCCGTGAAGATGATCTTAGACTACGCCAAGGTGATGGACGTGAATCCCCCGGCCCCCCCGGGCTTCGATCGGATGCTGCGCGACCTCTTCGACGAGAAATGCTTCGGGGGCGAAGGCGGGCGCGTGGGCCACCGGGTGATAGCTGCCTGGTTGGACTGCGTGCCCGAGGGCGGGGGGGCGGGGGATATGCGTCTGCCTCGTGCTCATCGTGCTCTCAAGGAATGGGGCACGGAGGCCCCCGGCTTCTCTTTGCGTTCGGGGGCCTTCGAGGCGCGGGCCGCTCTCTGCGCCGTGCTGTCGAGGGAACAGACCGAGAAGTCCAGGCAGGCGGCGCTCGAGCTGCTGGTCATGCTCGGCGCCTGCGCGCGTCCAGGAGAGGGGCGCGCCTTGCGCGCTCGCTGGTTGGCGGCGCCAGCTCGCAACGTCGGCCGCCGCTGGGCCCTCGTCTTCCGGTCGCGCGAGGGCCGCGCCCCAACCGGGGTCGGGCGCTTCGACGTCGCTGCAGAGTGGGGGGCCGCCCTCGCCTCCAGTGGGTCGGGGGCCCTTTCGGCCAGATGAAGGAAGGGCGCCTGGCGGGGGGCCCGCCGCTGCAGTGCGCCCGCGAGGACTTTGCCGAGATGGTCCAGAAGGTGGCGCCCAAGATCGGCGCGCCCCGCGTGGTTCCATACCTGGCTCGCCACAGCGGGGCCTCGATCGACGTTCTGAACCGCATGAGACCGCTGGGGGGATTCGAACAAAGAGGGAGATGGCAGAGTATGCGCAGTGTGACGCGATGCGAAAAAGGAGGGCGGATCCTGGAGAGGCGGCAGAGCTTGCCAAGACCTGTCAGAGACTGCGCCACCGCTTGCGTCAAGCATCTCCAGGGGGACTTCGGGCCAGAACAGTTTCTTCGGGGCGCTGGCGCTGCCCGTGACTGGAGCGTGGGGGACCTCTTCTCGGGCAGCGGGAGGTTCGCGAGGTCCGTGAAACAGATTGGGGGCGGTGTGTCTCGACGGGCGTCATCCACGGACCCCGTTCTGATCTGACCAGGGGAGATATCCAGAGAAAAGTGTTCGCTCGACTCCAGAAGCCCGAATGCGAAGGAGCCTTGATAGGATGCCCGTGCGCGACCTTCTCAAGGGCCTGTAGAGGACAGCCTCCTCCGCTTAGGACAACTGTGCACATTTTTGGCGTTCCTAATTTCTCAGTGTCGGACCGAATGAAGGTCCAAATATGAAACCGTCTTGCCCGTTTTTTTTCTGCGAGTTGTTCTTCTCTGCCGTAAGTTGGGGGAGGGTCTGTGTGATCGAGAATCCCCAGACCTCGATGCTCTGGCGCCTTCCCAGCTTCGAGACGGCAGCTTCGCTCTCTAAGATTGTAATTCGTGACGCGCATTTGTGTCAGAGTGGAACCGAGTAGCGAAGGGCCACCCGACTCGTGAGATGTGATGCTGTTGACATCTCAAGAGATCTTGGACGCAGATGCTCGGGTCGAAAGCATTTGCAGTATAACGCAATGTGCACGCAGAGTCCTTGAAGGCAAGGCCCCCGATGGTTGTTTCCGGACGCTGATCGCGCAACCCTATCCCCGACCCGTGTGCGCATGCCTAAGTTGTCTTTTGAAGCCACACTAAACAGAGCACGCATGCCATCCTGGAGTTTTTGATGTCTGTGATTCCGGGATTTTGTTTTGCCTTGCTGCCTTTGCGTGTCGCTTGGCACGGGTGAACGAAGGCTCCCTGCGAGTTAACTCCAGGCTTGACTTCACTACGTAGCCTGTTGCTGAATGAAACATGTCATGGCTGTGCGGGCACTTCAATGACAATGTGAACGGTTCTGATTGCATCCATTTCTCTATAGCCGCTCCTTGTTCCTCACCCACTACCGCCCTGCGGGCTGGGCCGGAGCCCCAGGGGAGAGCTTCTTTGGGAAAAAGAGCCAAACCCAAACCGAAAGGATCCAGCACGCCGGGCACCCCTGTGGCAAGCCAGCACGGGGCGGCGGATCTAATTGCCTTCGACCCATCCAGCTGCCGTGCCTGGGTTGTGGGTATGAAGCTTATTGGATGTTCGTTGGGATCTCGTGGGTGGCGTTTCGGGGGCCTCTTGGAAGCAGTTTGGACGGCTCTCGGGGGCCGTTTTGGGGTCTCTTGGGGCCTGTTGGGGGCCTCGGGGCCTCTTGGGGCCTCTTGGGCGCCTAGTGGGGCCCCCTGGGGGCCTCTTGGGGCCCCTTGGGGCTTCTTGGGGCTCTCCTTCCTCTCCTCTTCATTTTTATTACCGTCAGAGTGCCCCCCGAGGGTTTCCTCAACGGCTGGGGGACAAACGTAGTCCAATAGCTTGGCCAGAATTCGGCCCAACGTTTGGCCACATATGCGCTTCCAGGGGGCTGCGTTGACTCGCCGTTGGCGTCTTCGATTTGCCGCCCCGTGCTCTTGCCGCAGAGGTGCTGGAGCAAGTTATTCAAAGGTTTCAAAGCTATTCCAATAGGTTCCCGGTGGCCTTTGGCACGACTTGCCAGTCCCGCGCCAATCAGGTACCTGTTGGTTTTTCCGCCCAAGATGCCTCCACGGTGGTCTCCAAGACGGACGAGATGGGCGAAGGTGGCCCCCGAGGTTGCAAGACGCTTCCCAGACAGCCAAGATGGTGATTCCAAGGTGGCCCAAGTTGGCAAAAGACAACGCGCAATTCCCCCAATGTGCAGGGAAAGCGGTCCAAGGGAGCCTTCAGGAGGCCCGAAGAGCATAATTCATTGATTGCCCATAGGCTCGATCATGATTTTACCGTTCTCGTCATCTCGGTATTGAGGATATCCTAGACGGCCCAACAGATCCCCGAGATCGCCCGAAGACGGCACAGGAGGCCCTCAAGATAGCCCCAGGTTTTTCTTTGGCCGGGTCTAGTTTTTTTTGCTCGGGCCTAGTTTTCCCCTCGTCGGGTCTAGTTTTCCATTGGTCGGGTAGAGTTTTTCCTTTGGTCGGGTCTACTTTTTTTCTCGTCGGGTCTAGTTTTTCACTGGTCGGGTCTAGTTGCCCCCAGGTCGGGTCTAGTTTTTCCTTTGGTCGGGTCTAGTTTTTCACTGGTCGGGTCTAGTTTTTCACTGGTCGGGTCTAGTTTTCTTTGGTCGGGTTTAGTTTTTCCTTTGGTCGGGTTTAGTTTTTCTCTGGTCGGGTCTAGTTTTTCCCTAGTCGGGATTCGTTATCCCTCGGCCGGGTCTAGTTTTTGCTTTGGTCGGGTTTAGTTTTCTCATGGTCGGGTCCAGTTTTCCTTTGGTCGGGCTTAGTTTTCCTTTGGTCGGGTCTAGCTTTTTTGTTGTTGTTGTTGCTGTTGTTGTTGTGGTCGTGTCTAGTTTTTTTTCCTATCGCCGATCGCGGCGGACCGGCAAAAGCCGGTCCGCCGCGATCGGGCGGCGGGCCGATCCCCACTGCTCCTTCGTTCTCCCTGCCGAGCGACTTTGCAGCCCAGCAGCGCGCGCGTGGTAGAGCCAGCGGGGCCCGCACAAGCAGGGTGAGGTCTGGAGCACGGCTGGGGCCAGCCAGCAAAAGCCGGTCCGCCGCGATCGGGCGGCGGGCCCCGCCGGTGGGCCCGTGGACTGACGTACCGTTTGCAGGGGCTTGGGGGTGCTTCACCAGGTAATCCACTGGTGATCCCCACTGCTCCTTCGTTCTCCCTGCCGAGCGGCTCGGCAGCCCGGCAGCGCGCGCGTGGTAGAGGTAGAGCCAGCGCGGCCCGCACAAGCGGGGTGAGGTCTGGAGCACGGCCGGGGCCAGCCAGCAAAAGCCGGTCCGCCGCCGAGCGGGCGGCGGGCCCCGCCGGTGGGCCCGTGGCGTGCG